GCCAATCAAATGCGAGCCTTGGATGTCGCAACATTTGGATACGCTGAAAATTTGTGAGCGAAACAATGACCGGCGTTTTAAGTAGGTTTTATTTCGCCACGGCAACAATGATATTAATGTAGCAGCTGAAAAACAGCTCTAACAACGGAAACACTGTGAAAAGCACTGTTCTTTGGTTGCCGGTTTGGAAAACTGAGTGGTGTTTAAATAAGGGAATTGCCAAGGAAATCAAAATTACAAGCCGATCCAGCTTAACGCTTTGCTCTAGCGATTCTACGCCGAAATTAAAAACAGACATGGTTAAACCTCGCAAACGACGATTCCATTTCATCGAAAGTGATTCAGACACAGACTGAACAATTCCTTGAACTGTTTAGCCGGACTTTGACTCCCGTTTCGGAAGGCTAAAAACACAAAACATCTTTATATTGTAGCAACTAGAATTTACAAGAAACAGCTAACTGTCAGAAATAACTGTTAAAATTTCTATCATGTATCAGCATCATATTCGCATTTAGAGATATACGCAAGGAATACTAAACCGCGGCAGATACGTTTTCTCTCATCAATATGCATTTGCTTCACTCGCCAGTTCTTGTCATCTAGGTGATTTTAACGGAGTAGTTTTTCTTCATGTTAAATTTTTTCTGGCGTCCGAGTGACTTCTTCATTAATAGTCGCATTGACCTGGATATCGATACGCCACAGATCGTTACTTTTTTTTAATTTTTTTTATGTGGTTTTTTGTTTATATATTTTATATCAAGATATCAAAACAATAGAGTTATGTCTATAGGCATAAATCTGTTATGGCTAGGCTTGGGTTAAAATGAGCTCTAAAAAGGCCCTAAAACATATTCATCCTTAAGTGTTTTACTGTTAAAATTTCTTTGGAGGGTATTAAAAAAAAATAATTAAGAACAAATACTACAAAGCGACTACCAAAGTAGTCTGAAAAATCACGCTAGCTAAATTACATTTTAGGCCCCAAAATGCACCACAATGCCTAATGTTTCCCACAATGCCCAATATTTTCAGTTGAATCCCACTATCATTCACATTTATTTGGTTAATAAACTATATGTGTATTAGGTATAGAGGGGCAGAGCCAATAACATTTACCCGCAATACCTAAAGTTTCCTAACTAACCGTATGTAAGATAAGGGTGCGCTTACAAAGTGATCGATATCATTATTTATTTCAAGTTCGGTAGCCTGTGTAGCCAGCTAAAAAAATTGTAAACTCAACTGATCAATCTTTGTTCTTTTAGAATCCTTGTACCGGAGAAACCTGTTCCAGCAATGGGATATGCTCACCGATTTCGTTGAGGGACAAAATCCATAAGTGCGTCTGTTACCCGGGCTATAGTGGCAGTAATTGTGAAATTGGTACGTAGCTTTTGAATTTTTTCGTCACATATTTATTGAGACGAATATTTTTTCTAAGTTACTTATATCCATAACTGATCTTTATGAGAGATGTGAGATTTTCCGGATTGGTCATATCTTCTAAAGACCGCGGTCAAACGTAATTAGGGCGTGAGCGAGGGGATTAATTTTAGCCGCCCGCGCACCAATTTTCCCGCGCAAAATTTCAAAGGAAAAAAAAAGAAGCAATCTGCCGCTATCTCGTTAGATAAGCGAAAGAAAACTGAAACGTTCGTAGAAATCTGTGAAAGGGAACAAAGATATTCAATTATTCAATTACGGTTATCCTGTTGAATTTTCCGTTTGTAGCTTTCTTAAGGAAGTTATATGCTTTTAAAAGACCGTGGTTTACTGGCTTGTGTGGTTGTTTGTGGCTTGGTTCTGACAGCCTGAAAGCACAATACCCAAGCGAAACCTAATCGTCACACACACATGCGCAGACGTTTCACCGCCGCTTATTTTTTTTCTGTGGTGGCCAACTCACATACCATGGTTTTAAAATGGCGGTACTGAATCAATGCCCCCCCCCCCTTATCTCCCCCCTGCCTTTCGATTTCCACCTTTATTGAAACTCTTGTGGCTCTATTACTGTTACAAAGAGGGGGGGGAGAGAGAGAGAGAGAGAGAATAAAATCTCTTTTAGGGTTTTCGCCACGTCTTTAGAAACCTATAGGATTAATATAAAATATAACTTTAAAAAGATGGTCTTCATTAAGTTACACAATATAACGCATATATGATATTTGGTACAAGAGGCACGACACCAGGTTTTTGCAAATAAAATTGTGATAAAGAAAACGTCAAGTTAAACTAAATTCAGGCGATCTAATGTATACCACTGCGATTATTTTTGGAGCTTTTTATTTCATATTTTCTGAAAATGATTATGTAATAGGACAAAAAAACCCTTACAATCTTAGTAAGAATTAAATGGCCTAAAACTCTCACTCTTTACGACGTCAGTCGTAGGTTTTTTGATCGAGAGTAAAATGTGAATATTTTTTTTTACAGTCCGAGTGGGTTGCACCAATTACACTGTGCTGAGTGAACCCGATCGCCATACATCATATGGAAGAGGAGGGAGCTCGGACGCATCTCTCGTACCTGGCTGGTACAGATTTCAGTCTGATTCATACATTAAAATGCTGGACTACTGCCTCAGCGACCACAGATGTCGTACAGACATAACAGGCTGGTTAAACGGGCTTCATCCATCTCTCGAGGAAGGTATTGTTAACAGGCAGGCGTGCTTTCACTGGTATTATAATTGTTGTTACAGACGAGTTCAAGTTCAAGTGAGAAGATGTGAAGGGTTTTATGTTTACTACCTTAATCCATCACCAGCAGGAAGGTTTCGCTATTGTGCAATTGCCTAGGGAGGACCTTAAGCCACAGAAGAGTGGTATGTGAGCTACTATATATGAAATAGCATCGCCTAAGGTCAGAAAGGAACTGTCATTTTTGTTTGCCATTAAGGCCAACCTTGTTTAGTATATGTAGCGTAGTTGTACAAATGTAATCAAAATGCAATCGTCGCCGAAGCGGTGTATTATTGGTAATAAGAAACTTTTTTTGAATTATTATTACTATTATTAAAAAAATAATAATGTTTGTATCTTGCACCAATCAGATTGCCGCATAAGGGTATGTATCTCGCACCAGTCATATCAGATCATTTGGATATCTTGCACCAATCACAGCGTTTGGGGGCTTTACACAAAGAATGACATTAGCAAGGCTCATTTGATAAGTGTAATGGTTTGAGGCCTTCGCGAGAGCCTCGTCGCATTTAACTTTTTGTATCATTTTTAAGTTAGAGCTTTTTTCCCGCTCTTTTACTCACAACACACCCGCCAAACAACTTACATTCCATCACGTACCATGAAAACAACGTCCTAAGTCCAATTAGAACATACCCAATCATTGCACTACATGAACATTAGGCAATTTTTTACGTGCTTTAATTGCATTCCACCAATCAAATTCCGTTTTGCCACATGAGACTTCGCTCTTTCACGTGTAATTTCCTTTTAGACAACCCAAATTTTATCACGTACTCTAATCGCGTTGTCCAACCTCACTGTAAAAAATTCACATGAAGCTAAATGCTATTGATAGTGAATTTTCTACGCAATTCTCCCGCGTTTTGACTTTTTCTACGAATGAAATTGGCTTTTAGCTTACTGGGAGTTAACCCAACCGCATGTAAATTCCTTGTAAACAACCTGCATTTTACCAAGTATTTCACACTCAGAGGGCAAAGTCCAGATAGGCAACAACCAATCGAGGAGCCCTCTTATCCTTTGTCTTTTTCAATGTATCTGACTCACTCGAGATCGCAATATATCTTTAGCTGGGGTCTATTAGAGATACAACAGAGTTTCAGTTTGCTTTTAGTAGTAAAATTACGACGAATTATATTTTTAAGGTAATTAATTGTAGACGAGTAATATTGATTTTCTCTCTGTCAGAGGAACGATAGTAAGCGTAGTCCCTTTCGCAACCATTAATTGGTCTCGTCACGCAACGCACTTTGTCTCTCACGGGAAATAAATGGCAGTGTGTGACGAGACTAAACAACTGCTGCAAAGCGTGGAACCGATGCATTTTATTTTTACAATGGACCACAAAATACCAGTGTGAATTCAGATAAGTTAGGTTTTTTTTCTTTTTCTTAGGTAAACTAATACGATATGATCGTTCTTTTGAA